CCCCCCCCCCCCCCCCCCCCCCCCCCCCCCCCCCCCCCCCCCCCCCCCCCCCCCCCCCCCCCCCCCCCCCCCCCCCCCCCGGTGACAGAAAAACTATGGGCTCTCTTAAGTTCATCTATGGCGCTGCCACTATTTGGGTTGTTCATATTTTATTTTTAGGCACACACTAATAAAGGCCTGCTGACATTTTTTATATTAGTCAAATGGAACTGAGATTCTTCTCAGCACAGCAACTCTCGAGTTTTTTAGTATTGAAAAAATTTCAGCATCAAAGTTTCAGGGCTCCATAGCAATGTAAAAGTCGAATATCATGCTAATTTTGCTAAATACAGTCGATAAAAATTGCCAGAGCTGATTTAAATTAGTTAGGTATAATCAACAGTTATGTTCTGGTTTTACCGTAGTAAATAAAGATAAATAAAAATCAAACAGAGGAGTAAAGGATTTTTCGATGAGAAAGGGTTCGGCGTGAAAAATGTGAGAGCCCACAGAAATTCGGCTCACATTTGACTAGTTTGAGCAATAAAATAGAATTCTGATTATGTTACGCAGATGGTTATGCATTATATCATACCTAGCATTTTCACAGTTTGAGTTGTTTACCAAGTAGCGCTAAAGGCGTATGAACTTATTCTCAGTTCTATTGCAGATAAAGATTAATACTACTCTCATTTTTCTTCATCTTGATCATTGGCGATAACGAAAAACTATTAATATGGCTGTTAATGAACTTCACATTTCTCGGATTAACGTAATTAATGTTCAGCACGATGAAGAACGACGTGAAATACAACAACTCAACGATACTTTCGCTATGTATCTCAAACGAGTTCAAAATCTTGAAGAAGCAAATAAACAATTAAGTGTTCAAATTTTAGCTTTAAGAAACCGTTGGGGTAAGTTATTTACAAAAACACGTCTTCTTATATTAAAATATAAATTAATATTTATTTCATTCTACTCTTAAAGTTGATCCTAGAAGCCAACGACATGAAAGTGAGGCAGCTTTAGCCATTTGTCGACGAGATCTCGATACAGTGGCACGTGGAATGCAATCAGCTCAAGTACAAGCTATACGAGCGAACTTGGATAAAGCATCGATAATCAATCAAATTTCTTTCATAAAAAGACTTATGGATGCCCATCAACAAATTGCTTTGGTTGCACAACAAGACCTTGATCGAACCAAAATCGAGCTTGAATCGTATAGTGGCGAAGTTGGTAATAAGAAAGCAGAAATTGAACAAAGCAAAATTGAAATGGGCGAGCAACTGAAAATTCTAAAAGCGTTGAATAAGCGATATGATGATGAATTGATGGCGCGTGTTGTGCTTGAATCTGAATTACAAACATTACGTGAAGAATTGCTCTTCCTGATGGCTGTTTTTGAGGAAGAAAAAAGTTCAATGCTTTCACACAGCTCATTCCAAATTGATATTAATCAATTCTATCAAAATGAAATTAAATTGTCAATTGCAAAAATCAAGAATGATTTCGCAATACTTTCAGAAGCACGATATAAGCAATGGGAAGGTAAAAGTAACAAATAATATTCGATATATTTATATTACAAATAGTTGACGTTTCAACTGTAATATTATTTGGTAATGTTGCCTAGAAAAGCAAGGCTTTCTGTACTAATTAGCATAATATTTATAAATCAAAAGATTACATAAGTCAGTGGGACTTAAGCTCACATATCAAATGACCAAGAAATGGTACACAGTAATATATCAATAATAGATAAATTTGAACGAGCTAGGTGCTTATGCAAACACACTACCCATACAATATGTTTCAAGAGTTCATATTTCTGAGATTTATCTTATAGGCCCTAATCATTTGTATAATTGAACGTTCGAATACATGATTATGAAATGTCTATAATGCCTAATGCCTAATCCCTAATGAATTTTTATGTTTGTACAACTAGCCTAAACAGTTATATATAACGACGAGATGAAAAAGAATAAAAATCTTTCCACTAGTTTCGCTAGTATTACACATAATTTTGAGTTATTGATATAACTTTACCGAACATCTACTGTGAACAGAAAAAAATTTCTATTCGAACTACAGCGTTTAACAGGTCCCAATATCGAACTATTTAAGACTACTCGATTAAAATCAACTTAGACTATTGTAAATTGCACACAGTTACGATTTGAAAATTTTCTTCCTATCGAGAAGTTACACCATTTATGCTTTCTCTTTAGACTACTATAAGCTAAAAATTAATTACGTGTCACAACAGTTTGCTGACGCGCATACAGGTGAAAATTTAGTCGGCGCAAAAATTGATATCAAAACGCTTGCGACAGATTCAGAAAAATATAAACTAGAACTAGCGGAAGCACATAAAGAAAACGGACGATTGTCCATGCTTTTGCAACAACTCGAAGATGCATATGAGGACATGAAATTTGAACATAACAGCAAATTAACCGCTTTGGACCAAATGTTCGCCTCGTTACTAGCTGAATACAATGAACTTCAAGCAGCCATTTCAAATATTCATGAAAATAATGTTTCGCTTCAATTCGAAATAAGTGCATACCGATGTATTCTAGAAGGTAATATTCTAATATTTATTACAAATTGGATCATATATATACGTACTAACTACTAACAAAGCAATGTATTGAAGTGTTCAATTTTTTTAAATCTATGTCTATCTCATACACATATATTTTTATGCGTCGTGAGAATAGTTCAAAGTAGCCAAGATTAGTGTGCACCCATCGTCTGATAGAGTTTATTATCTATTAGCAGTGCATTTTGTGCATGGCTATGGATTTATCACAAAAGCAAGCAGGGAAAGTCTAGGTCCGAATCAACCCTTTACGCGAATTTAGTAGTAATGAGGATGCATTTCAAAAGTCAAATGATATACAAGAAAAAATCTCAGCATATTACAATGAATTCGAGTTTTACTTAAAGGTCAAATTTTGACATAGGATTTACTAGTAACATTTTTTTCAATGATTCAACTTTTATGTCTGAAAAACAGTAACTTTGAATGTATTTCTTAATGCTTCTAAGATGTTTCGTACTATTAGTAAGGAGAATATACCAATTGATTTTATTCCATGTTATTTTCACAGGATCTTAACAATGTCTAGAGTAGAACAATATCGACTGATATTTGAATCATATGAAATAAAAAATTGAAATCGTGTTTTCATTATTTTCATAAGAGAAAATCTATCTATAAGAATTTGTTTTGGGTTTGATTTTGATATTTTTTGATAAATATTTGTACGAAGAGATAATCTTTTATTGGTTGAAAATAACTTATGAAAGTTTGTAGCTTTCTTGAAAGTGATATCAATTTGCTAGAAATAGACAGTGCTAGTCTGAGAAACATTACAAAAAAAAAGAAATAGTCGAAATAGAATGAACAAGAAATTAATGTACAATTTTTGAAATTTATCTATGAAGAGGGTTTCTTTTATTTTTGTTATCTCTTTTCAATTTCAATCATTGAAGGCGTCTATACCGTCGAAGCCACGAAAACACGGGATATTGCGTTCATGTGGAAGAACACATTGACTGCTGCCTTTTCTGCTATGGATACAAAATCATTAACTGTGTTACGTTGGGCCGAAAATATTAAGGCTCCAATGAATGGTACTTTACTTACTGTTAAATTCAACGGTCCCAAAGGATATAGTGGTGTATCATTCTCAGCTACTTACTACACATCTCGAGATCGAATCGTCGTTGAAGCAAACATCGCTGACAGATTTAATTTTAGTAACTACGGCGAGTATCAAGTGACAATATATTATGCAAATTCAACAACTATTATTGGTACATGGAGTATTCATGTCGAACCGGCTAGTGATATTTGCATGCCGAAGGAACTTATTATTCGTAATTCCATTAACCAATTGCTGCCTAACACCACAATTCAAATTTCAGCATCAGGCAAAGTCGTTTTTACTGGTAAAACTAATGAAAATGGTGCTATTAGTCTTCCTCGAAATTTACCACAGAATTGTTACGATATCGAAGTAAATACAAACATGGCTCAGTACAAAGCTACAATAATTCAAAGAATCATGTATCCCAACAAAGGTGCAGATTCGATTACAGTCTTTATCTATCGTCAAATGCAACCTGATGAGGTTGAATTTCTACTCATGTGGGGAGAAAAACCAAAGGATCTTGATTCACATTTGTATGTTTCCGATGGACGACACGTATATTTTCAAGTACAAAGTGAAAAAAATGTGTCTCTTGATTGCGACTGCCGAGATGGTAGTGGGCCAGAAACTATTAAAGTGAAACTTGAACCTAACATGAAATATGTTTATGCTGTTCATAGATTCAGCAAAGATGGAGAATTAGCAAGATCTAATGCAAATGTTACTATTAGTACCAATGAAAATGTAGGCGCAGGTTTTCCCTACCAAACTATTGATGTTCCATATGTTGATCAACCCGATGCGAACTTCTGGGTTGTCTGCCAAATTGATGGACGAACAAAGAAAGTCACATTGTTCGACCGAAAATTTGAAAACCAAGATGATTTCACTCAATCGATGCTAGAACGATATTACTCGCCTTGAAAGATCAATTAACATTTGTGTGATTTTAGCTTGGCTTAGAAATTTTTGTGCCATATTTATTAGAAATAAAAGTGACTTAATGACTTTACTATATTTCTAAAGATGCTATATACAGTTAAATCTGCACCATGTGAACACCGTTAGAACCGAAGGAAATCGTTAAGTATGACGCGGTATTCATAAATATGGGTGGGGGAGGGAACAAATAAATTTACACTGAAACATCTGTTTCTGTACCTTGTGTTTCAATTCAATATTTCTAATTAATTTTCACTTTAAATATCTTACAAATTTTAACTAACTACACTGCAATGACTACCTTTAAAGGGCCTCCTGCCGACGATTTGTTTTGTCAAAACCGACGATTAGGCTCGACTTTCGTTTGTTTATCGCTTTTTCATTATTTTATTAATTAACTGATATTTATAAACTTGCAAAAGTGTTGATTCCAATTTACAAAATCTCCTCGATGATGCAACAGCGAATTCTATAAGATGGCGCCACATATGTCCTGATTGGTCAAGTAGTCTAACGAATATTTCTTTTTTATGATGGCGGCTTCGGGGCATCGACATGGGACCACTCTGTTACAGTGAGAAGATTGATCCAGAAGTATATGATAAGGCACCGCAAGTGTATACTTCATTAACCAATCGGAATATATTCTCAACAACATTGACTCCAGTTAGTGCACCTGTAGAGATCTCGGTTTTTTTCAGAAAGTTTTACATGAGATTATTTCGAATGTGCGTAACCCAGGTCGTGGCCGTACGGCGGGAAACGGCCGGCAAGCCCCGGCAAGCGCGGGAAAGTGGAAGCAGTATTCCCCAT